CACCATCTTGTTTATGTTGCTGTTTACAAAACATCAGAGCTGAAAGAGTTCCTCTGAATTAAAATGGGAGGAATTGAGGAAGAATTTGGCATTTTGATTCAATCTTTAATGTACAATTTACCTTTCAAGCACACACAGCATACTGGCTCTCAGGCAGAAGATAAGCACCTAATAAATCCGCTTACATTTTTCTCAGCTCTTACTCACAGTGGAATCCCCAAAATTCATTTTATTTTATCTTTTTCCCACTCTTCAGCTTTTTCATTTTCCTTCCTGCTCTTCAGTCACCACAGGTTTGGTTTCTCGTTTTCTGTTTTCCATCGCTCGGCTTTGTTCTCTGCAATGGAAAGACAGACAGGACAGACAGACAGACAGGGACATAGGCACTGCCAAGGGAACCACCTCGGACACCCACGTTCAGCAGCATCTGACTGCCCCTCAAAAACATTTTCACTTTATAAAGGGGAGGGAATCAAACCTCATTTGCATAGGGGGTCATTCCATCTCACAGGTTGGTGGCTCTGGAAAGTCCCGTTCTGGTTCCCCGGCTGGTGAAGAGCCAGGCAGGCACTGCCAGGGGGAGGTGAGAACTGCTGTGCTGACCCTGAGAGCGGGGCTGACACGAAGGGCTCCATCCACCTTACTGGAGACCCAGCTGGGACATCTGGGCACTCTCTGTCCTTAAGGTTTCAAGGCTCAGGCCCTGCACCCAGAGCTGAGGAGCAGAGTGAGAGAAACCCCCGTTGTGCAGGAGGAAGCTCTGGTCAGGTGCTCGATACTTGGGCTTCCTGTGTGTACAGCCCGCGGTCTCATCTGGGGAAACCCTGAAAACATTATCAGCTGCCTGATAAGCTCTTCAGCTTTCAAGTACATACTGATTCAGTTTCGGTCAAAACCTCATTTGAATACAGTTTTAAAGTCTAAATAAAAAGCAAGACCTAAATGGAGAAGAGATTAGACTTGCAGTCTAACATCTCAGGTATCCAAAATTGTGTGACTGATTAATACTGGCATAAACAAATCTACTTCTCCATACCTGCATCAAGATGCTCAGAGCATGCATTCAGCTTATTAAAAAGGTGTGGAATTACATGCCTGGCTAATTAAACGCCTTTATTTATCCCCAAACAAATAACACAGCAGAAGCAGCAGCACGGATTGCTTACTCCACCCCGATGCTGTTCACCATTGACTTGAGGCAGGTTGTTCTGAGAGAGGGACTGCTTGGAACTCTGGTGCCCACTCATCCCATGGTCTTCTCCAGCAAAGCTGGCACGTGTGACAAGCCAAGCAAGATGCCACTACAGCCCTGAGTGCAGCACTGCCAGAAACAGTGTGAGGTCACACAGTGCTTTCTGAGGGCACTAAATCACAGCCCAGGTGATCACACTAAATCACTAAATCACACCACCAGGCAGCCCCAGCCTCTCTCTCTGTTTACTGCTGTTCACTGCATTCTGCAGCAAGAGAAAGGGCTGGCCTCCTTCCTTCGCTGGGGAAGATGCTCCCAGAAGGGAGACCTGTCCCCAACCAGTTCAAATCTTTTCATGCAGGCAGAGATAAATCAGGTCCTGCATATAAAAACCCTTTCATAGAAACAGAGCCTTCAGAAAGCAGAGTAGACATATGGTCATTTCTTGCATGATTTCATCAGTCTTTCATCCCTGCTGAAAGTATTTCTTTGTAACAGACAGTGAGATAACACCCTGAGTTATGAATTCCAAGAGGAGCTGGTGCTTAGTCCCATTCAAAACTACAGAGGAATCCAAATTACTTCTGAAGAAATTGAAATTTCTGCCTCAATACTGTTAAAAGTAAACTTTCACTTGATTTCTCTTGAAAGCTGAGTTCTGTGGGTCTATTTCTGTGACACAGAGCCTTATACAAAGATATATATATATATATTTTTTGCTTTTGGGCATCTACTTGTCTGATTTCTTTCAGCTGAATTGACTCACAAATTTTATGAGCTCTCCCTCTGATTTCTGTCTCATTGCTTTAATAAGCAGTAAAACTGATTGAAAAGAGAATAGGCTGACAAAGAAGGAAACCAAGGAAACAGTTCATAAATCATGCACCTTTCATAGACCACTTTGCACATTTACAGAAGTCATGGTCATATCACAAGCCAGGTAGGATTTGATTAGCCATTTCACAGCCCACTCTGATGGGCATATAAATTAGGACACAGTGCTCCTACCTCTTATGCAAGCATTGGAGAGCTGGTGGGCATGCTGAGGCAGCAGGGTGCAGAGGGGGTGGTAGAAACAGCTCTTCTGTGCACTCCTGATGACCTGTGCAGCCTCCAGAAGCCAGAGCTCTGCTCGTGGACAAGCTCACAAGGGAGGGAGGGACACACTAAGACAGGAGAGCTGCAGCCACGCTCCAGGACATGCTTCTCTAAACTGGGAAATGTTCCCAGGAGGAAATGCCTGCAGAGATTCATGCAGAGGCATTCACCTTCCCCCCAAGAGTCTCTTTGTGTACGTGGGTGCACATCCATGCACGTATTTCTTTTCCTGAAGGAAGAATTTTGCTCCACAGTTGCACAGAGGGCTGGGGTATTGCCAGAACTGCCCACAGCCCCCACAGCTTTGCTCAGTGTCCCCCACAACAGCCGGAGTGTCTGTCCTAGTGCCTTAAAACCCTACCAGAGTTGTTCTACTCAGGTTTATCATTCTCTTAATTATTTTGCTGTGACATCTGTGAAGGCAAGACTGTGAGAGCTGGTACAGCACAGATGCCACAGACCACAGCACAGCCAGAGGTCTGCTGCCACAACTGCACCCTGGCCTCCCTCCCCTCTGCTGCCCAGGACAAGCCCTGGGCTTGCCTGCACCCTGCCCTGGTGACAGATGGTGCTCCCTGCCCTGAATGCAGCATTTCCATGGGTAAAGGAAATCCACTGCTGCCTTGTCAGAAGTGCTGCAAAGTGGTCCCAGGCAGCACGGTACAGTGAGTGTCACCGGCTTCAGAAATGGCTTCACTGGATGCTTTGCAGTCAGAAGGCAGAAAACAGGAAGGTTTCAAAGGAGTTACAAAGGCAGGAAGTGAGTCAGCCCTGAGCAAGAGGGACAGCAAAGAGCAACCCCTTGCACTGCAGACACCCAGACAAAGGCAGACCCAACATCCAGAACCTGAGTGAATGAGCCTGAGAGCAGAGTCAGGAACAGAGGAAAAGGGACCCTCCTTCTCCATCCACAGCCCAGAGGGAGGTTTATCCATCCAGAGGACTGTCTTCTAACCCCTCTTCTTCCTCCTCGTAGCAGCTGCATAACCCCCAAGGCACCAGCTCATCCCCTCCCCTCCCTGCCCAGGCACAACAAAGCCTCCTGCTCAGTTCTGCTCAGGAGCAGCTGAAAAGAGTCCTCCAGAGCAGCTTAGCTGGGAGCAGGAGTACAAATCCCCTGGAGCATCATGAAATCCGACCCCTGGCCTCTCACACACTCATCTGAGTGTTACTGGAAATAAAATGCCCACACCTCCTCCTCTGGCTGCCATCCCCCTCTGCCCACACCCCACAGGAGAAGACTCTGCTCTGAGAACTCCCAGCAGGCTGCACAGAGCAAGGAGGCCAAGCAGCATCCGAGCTTGGGCACACAGGAGACTCGGGCTGCTTGCCTAGAAACAGGTGCTTGACAGAGAATTCATGTGGAGCAAACCCAGGAGCCACAGGGCAGCAGTGCCACCAGAGCCCCACAGCACTGTGCCAGGAGTTCTGAGGGCACTAAAGAGGCCCTGGGGTACCTCCAGGCACACAAATTACATCTAAAAATAGAACCTGGGTACAAAGTCACACAGGCAGCTTTGGAAGTGATACTTTAGATATCTGACAGTATTGCCCATCAGAAAAGAAAAACACTGCATTCCTGGTTGCAGTACCAGAAAAAACACTCAGACCTTGAGCCTGGACATCACACAGGCACTGAGACCCTACATTGTCAACGAATCCCCACCAGCTTTGGCAGGTTCCTAAACAGGGTAAAATGCTTAAAGAATGAGCTGTTCCATGGTGAGTGCATCGGGTTTGAACATGCTGGTCTCTCTCTCCAGCATACTGTTGAAGCTATGAGGAAGACAAGTCACATTTTACTCTCTGTATTAATCAGAAGACTAGGATGCTAGTTCCAAAGGAAGAAAAAACGTGGAGAAGGACAGACAGAACTGCCTGAGTTCCAGCACTAGAAAAGGCCCTTGCCCCTCTGCTGTTTCTGATAACGTCCTGTAAAGCAGCAAACCACTGGCTGCCTAACCAGAGGCCACATGAGGGCACTGTGCAGCCACTTCACTGTCTTGGTTACAGGCACTTCTATGTCAAAATAAGCCTGAACTGTTTTCTCCCAACTTGTTAAAACTGATAGAGACAAAGATGCATTTTGTCCCTTTCTTTTATAGTGACTGTTGCTTAACTCCTGTGTCTGGTAGACTGTACCCATCAACTTTGATCTCAGTAAAGGCAGACAAGTCAAGAATCAAAAACTCTTAAAATGCAGTTAAGGATCAGCCAAACCCTGAAGTCTCTATACAGAATTTCCTTTACCTGTATCTTTTATCTGTTTCGTTTGATATTTCTGTGAATTCTTTGAAGTTTCAAAACAGCTCCCAGCCACTGGAGCCACACAGTGCTGTGACAATTAAAACTAGTCTATAGCTGCATGAAAACCCAGCAATCACCACCTTAGACAACCACTGGGGAGAGCAAACAAGTTCAAATGCAAAATGCTGGAAGAACACCAGCTCCAGTGCTTGATTTACACTACACTGGTTTAAACCCTTGCATGTGTTTTAAAGAACCAGGTTATGCAAAGTGAGGTCAGGTGGACCTCAGCCTATCCCAGCCATGTAGTCTGACCAGCAGGTACCAGCTCCTGGATGCAGTTCACAACAGTGTATTAGTGCTGCTTACCAGCTTACCCATGCTCTGCTCTGATTGCTGGTCAGACACCTCCTCTAAAGCACTGCTCACACCTGGAGCACACTGAAAGTGAGCAAGTCTGGTATCGTGCATGTTAGATTAGCTTTTATTGAAATACAGAACTACATGAAATTTAAAACCCATTACAACATTCCTGCTCCTCATAAAAGTCAGCTGGAAATGGTGGCAGCTCGGGGAAGTGTAGTTTTTCCAGGCTAGCAATGAAGTCAGCATTCGCTTGCAGCAAGCCTGAAGTTAGAAATAAATCAAATCAGTGTCTCAAACTCAATGTACACTAACACAAGTCAGCTCCCAGTAGCTCAGCATAAACCTCCTGAATGACCAAGGGAAGTGCTGTTTTACAGCATGAACCCATCCCACCTAGCTGATAGTTTGCAAAGCACCATAAGAGACTGCTCAGTGTGCTGCTTTCCACTGAGACAGAGTTAATTTTCTTCCCATGGCATCATGCTCAGCATCTAAAGCTGGGGAAGAAGGAAGGAGTGCTATCTGGAGTTAGAGCATTTGTCTTCCCAAGCCACCATCACATGTGATGGAGCCCTGCTGTCCTGGGGATGCTGAACACCTGCCTGCTGATGGGAAGTAGTGAATGAATTCCTTGGTTTGCTTTGCTTGATGCATGGCCTTTGCTTTAGTTAAAACTGCTTTTGTCTCAAACCCATGAGTCTTTTCACATTTTCTCTTCCAATTCTCTTCCCCGTCCCGCAGCAGGGGAGCAAGGAAGCAGCTGTGTGGTGCCATGAGTCAGCAACATCACTGAGACCACTGCCTGTACCAGCAGGGCTGAGCAGTTCCACTCAGCTTGACTACACCAGAGCTGTGTGATGCTGGTGCACTGCTCTGGTACAGCAACAGCAACTCACTGCTGGAGACAACTGCCTTCCCTCCCAAAGCCCTGAGGAGCACTGTGTGTACTGAAAAGCATGCCAAGTTCCCACTTACTGGATGTAAATGACAACTCTGGAGTGAGGAGAGGGGTTGGCGTTTCCTCTACACGTCTGTGATATGTCCTTGGGAATACCATGAGGGGAACACCACGCAGGTCCAGATTGCTCAGTTTGCACTCCTCAGGAACATCGAAGTTATCAAAGTCTGTTTGAAAAAGACTGAGTAAGTGTGCAGTAGCCTGGGAAGCTGCAAATTCTCCTGGACTGGATTAAATAGGAAGCAATCTAACACAACAGAAGGGGTATTTATTTGCAGTTACACCTTAGTTGTCCAGGACATTCCCTACACTGACACTTACCAAAAGACTCAATTGCATAAGGTAACTGCTAACACAGAGCAGAAGCTTTTGGTGACTTCAGCAAGCACAGCACATGTTTCACCAACACCCAAGTCTCTGCCACAGCAGTTTTCACACACTCACGTCCCCGTGAAGAAAACTTTAAGGACACACTTTGAAGGACTGAGAAAGGAAGCACCCTTATGTTTCAGAAAGACTCAGGAGAAATGCAGTGCTGGCTTTGTGTGCCACAATAGCTTGAACAAAAGTCTTACAACAGTGCCAGCACTCATGGAAGCTTTATTGTTCATTTTAATAATTACACCAAGAGTTCTTACCTTGAGGATCAAAATGAAACATGTTTTCTACTTCTGGCCAATCTTCTTCAGACTCAGCACAATCTTCTTTACACTCTGCCAAACCTTTGTCAGACTTTGAAGTACAGCTGCCTAATTCAGTCTTTTCATCAGTCTTAAAGAAAGGAAGACACATTATTTGTGCTACTGTATGATGTTTATAGTGGCTCTCCTGAGCTGTTCAGGTCTACAGACAAGCACACCTGCCATGCAGCCCTCGAGCAGGCCTACGCTACAGCTTCAACACAAACAAGCTGCAGATGGGCAAATGTTTCAGCAGAGTTTATGCAGTGCAGTACTACATACGGTGGCAACAAGTGACTGCACTGCAACGTTTAAGCTCATATCAAACTGTCAGTACTTAACATGTGAATAAGGCATTAATTGAGACTCTTTCCCCCAGAGCCATCTATGTAGGTGAACTACTCTGGCTGGAATAGTTATTTTTCTTCCTTGTAGTTGATATGAGACCATGTTTTGGATCAAGGCTGAGAACAGCATCAACACACAGAGCTGCTGGAGCTGTTGCTGAGCAGCATTTACAGAGCCCAGGCCTCTTCTGCCTCTCACAACCCCCCAGCAAGGAGGCTGGGGGTGCACAGCTGACCCCAGGAGCGCAGAGGGACATCTCCACATGGCACAGCAGCATGCTCAGCAATGAAAACAGGCAAGTGTGCCAAGGCTGTCACTGCTCAGGGACTGCCAGGCATCACTCAGCTGCTTATGTTTTCCTCTGAGATTTTATTTATTAAGTTGTGTTAATCTCAGCCCATGAGTTCTCACTTTCACCTGTCCAGGTCTCTCACCCATCCCACTGAAGGAAAGTGAGGGAGCAGCTGTGTGGTGTTTAATCTGCCAGGGTTAAGCCACAACCAGCTACCCATTCCTCTCTCCCCTCCTGCAGCAGAAGTGTTGTACTCACTTTGACTGCAGTGCCAGGCTGGTTTTCCTGCTTTATCTCAGGTTGATTTTCCTGCTTTACCTCAGGCATCTTGCTCATGACTCCCGTAGCTGTATTCACCTTTCCCAGAGCCCTTCTCGGAGGGTGATGTGTGCCTTCAGGTACAGTGTACACCTTTTTACCCAGAGCCTTTCCCCCAGAGCGATACACGGCTCCAGATGTAGTGATTGCTTTGTTACCAAGAGCCTTTCTCCTAGAGCAAGTCATGGCTGCAGCTGAAAATGCTTTTTTATGAAGTGGAGTGCAAACTACTCCTCCAGAGTGTGCACTCTTTCCTTTTGCTGGAGTGGTAGAAAGTAAAAAAAAAAGAAGCAAACTTTAGCACCATATCAACCCTAAAGCTTCAGTAAGTGCTGGAAAACTTCTTGCCATAGAAATCTTTGTTCATCGTTTATAGCTCATAAGCCACACCTATGGCAAAAGCCCAGGTATCTTAATTTTTATGGTAACTGGTGAGCTTAGAAGAGTTTGTTAGGCAAACAGATACACGAATAAAAAACCCATTGAAAACAGTGAATAACAAAACACAGGGCAGCATAATACTCACAGGACCGCGGAGAGATAATCAGCTGGCCCTCAGGAGCAACAGCTTCCCCAACAGAGACCACAGCTGCCATCGTCAGCTTGACGACGACGAGGCCTCTCTGGAAAAAGTTCGTGCAGGGAAAAAAAAAAGAAGAAACAATAATTTTTGTTATTTCTTCCACCACAGCGGAGGTTTCACCTCGGGACACGGCGGGGGCGAGCGGGGCTGTCCGGGCGGGGCCGCCGGGCCCGGCGGCCCCGCCCGGACAGCCCCGCTCGCCCCCGCCGTGTCCCGAGGGGTTCTGCCGACCCCCGGACAGCCCCACCGTGTCCCACCAGCCCCCTGACAATCCCGTTCGCCCTCGTTGTGTCCCGATATGTCCTGACCTGCACACATCGACCCCCTCAGCGTTCTGAGGGACCCTCGCCCTCACAGCGCCGCTTTTAAAGTGGCGCCGCGCCGCCCATTGGCCGGTTCGACCGACTCGCGGCAGCCCATTGGCTCACGGCGTGAGGGGGGCGGGCACGAAGGGGGGAGGCCCCGCCCCGGCAGTGAGGGGGCGGGGGCCGCGGGGCATTGTGGGGCGGTGGCGCGGCCTGGCAGGTAAAAACAAGGGAGCGGTGTCGGGATAAAATACTGAGGTAAAACAACGGGATGGGGATAAAGGAGCGGGGTAGAACACTGGGATGGGGATAAAGGGGTGGGGTAGAACACTAGGAGCGGGATGAAGGAGCGAATCAGGGGTAGGGCGGCCCACAGTGCGCTCCCGGCCGGTCGCGGCCTGGGCCCGGCGCTGGTTCCCTCCTTGCCTTCCCTCACTGCCTTCCCTCATTCCCTCTTAGAATCATAGAATCATAGAATAGATTGTGTTGGAAAAGACCTCTAAGTCCAACCCCTGATCCAACTCTAATTACTATATCACGGCACTAAGGGCCATGTCCAATCTCTTTTTAAAAACTTCCAGGGATGGTGAATCCACCACCTCTCTGGGCAGGCCGTTCCAATGCCTGATCACCCTCTCTTGCAGGGGACGGAGCCGAGATGGCATCGGGGGCTGTGGCGAACGCCGCCCCTGCGGGGGGGGCGAGCGACGTGAGCCTGGAGGAACCGAAGAAGATGACGAGGGAAGACTGGAGGAAAAAGAAGGAGTTAGAAGAACAGAGGAAACTCGGGAATGCGCCTGCCGAGGTGGATGAAGAGGGAAAGTGAGTTTTGTTAGAGCTGGGCTGTTCTAAAGCTGCTGCTTCGAAGTGCCTTTTTTTCCTGGTGAGGTTACACAGCAGTCAGGAGGGTGACGGGGTTTCTGCGTGAGTCACTGCAGAAGGAAATAGTTGGGACTTTGTAGATTTTCTTTTAGCATTCCAGGAGACAGATACTCTCCCAAAAAATGCAGGTTCAGGATTTACCTACTGTGAGCTATTGACAGTTCTGCTACAAGTCCCATTTGTGCAGCTACTTACAGGTTGTGTTTTCAATGTGAGTAAGGGGAGCTTCCCTGTGTACCCGAGCTGTTCCCCCTCTCTTGTTTCTACAGGGCTTGTTGCTTCCGAGAAGACAAATGTTGCTATTTTTGTGCTCGGTAACATTTCACAGAGTAAGCCACTTGCTTTGGAGTCAGGAGTTGAGGTGAATTAGGTAGCAATAAAATCTCAGTGAAAGTCTCTGTTATCAAGTTTATTTTGCAACGCACTCTGCCAAGTTCATAGTTTTATTTTCCCTCCTAAAGCTCTGAACTTCAGTGTGGGAGTTATTTGTTAGGCTGAGTTGCTGTGGGGTCTCTCCCCTTGCCACGTGTTTGTGACACAACATCTTTTACAGGGATATCAATCCTCATATTCCCCAGTACATCTCCTCAGTGCCCTGGTACATAGATCCTTCTAAGAGGCCCACTCTAAAGCATCAGAGACCTCAGCCAGAGAAGCAGAAACAGTACAACTCCTCTGGAGACTGGTACAAGCGAGGAGTTCAGGAGGTATGAACAAACACAAAGATTTGCTTTGGTTGCAGGAGGAAGTGGTTGATGGTTGTGTGGGACTGAGGGGGGCAGGAGCTGGGAACCCTCTCTCAGCAGGCAGATTGCAGTGTTTGGGGGGGATCAGAACACGGGTGGGTCACACCTGGGGTGTCACTGGGTGCCTCTTGCCCAGGTTTGTGTAACTCTGCCCTTTGTGCCCCTGCCCAGAACTCTGTGGCCACGAGGTACCGAAAAGGAGCCTGTGAGAACTGTGGGGCCCTGACACACAAGAAGAAGGACTGCATGGAGGTAAACTGCACTTCTGTCCGTGGCTTAATGGCTTTGGAAACCATGGGAATGCTCCTCCTAGTGGAAAACAGCCGGCTGTAGGTCAGACAAAAAATACTGGCTTTGGAAAAGCCATGCTGAAAATGGCTGTGAGCGTTGAGATTGGAAACTTCTAAAGAAATTGTGTTGTGGGAAAAATGGAGGGGAAAAGTGATGCTACTTGGGGTGTTGTTGGTGAGTTCTGTTTGTAATGAGGTCTGCAGTAATAAGTAAAAATGTTTAATTAGTCATGTTAATGTGCATTAACTCAAGTGCTGCTGTGCTTGTCTTTCTGGGTCATGTCAGCCAGAAGCCACCTAGAAGCTGTTCTGATTGCTTTCTTAATTGTGGAAAATAGAATTAAAAACTGATGGGGTCTGGAGTTAGTTGTGCTACACTAAAATGCAGAACTACTTGCCTTTGTTTACCATTCCAGTGCTGCATTTAACTGGCTTTAGAGGAGCTTGATTGATATGATTTTTAAACGGATATCTGAGTGAGTAACATATTTTAGTCTGATGGGCTGATGGAACCATCTTTTTCTCTTTTAGAGGCCCAGGAAAGTTGGAGCAAAGTACACAGGGATGAACATTGCCCCAGATGAGCACGTGCAGCCCCAGCTGATGTTTGACTACGACGGGAAGCGGGATCGCTGGAATGGCTATAACCCTGAGGAGCACATGAAGATTGTGGAGGAGTATTCCAAGGTTGATTTGGTACGTAGGGGCTGGGATTTCCTGGGGAAGGGTTGGCTGTTTGTCCTGGCTGGGCTGGGAGGAGGAACACTGCTAATGAGCACTGTCAATGTTAAACCTCTGCTGAACAGAAATACACAAACAAATGCATTTTCTTGCTCTCCAGGCCAAACGCACCCTGAAAGCACAGAAGCTTCAGGAGGAGTTGGCATCAGGGAAGCTGGAGCAAGTGGTAAGTGAACTAAAACCTCATTTATTTTTGTTAAAGCAGAATAAATGCACAACAGATTACTTCTGCTTTCTGACACTTTTACTCTGTTCAGGGTCTGCTGTTAGGTTTTATGCCCTCCAGTAATTGAAAGATTTTCCTGGCACTCTGTGTCATATGGAAGAATTTGAAGCATCTTTCCAATGAGAATTGCTTTGTTTTCCCCTTTTGGGCTAAAATTCAGTGTGATAATTATTCCTGCTAAAATGAATTACAAGGGACTTTGGGTCAGAAGAACTTGTTTTCCATGTACTCATTTTTTTCCTGTACTGAAATGCTCTTTTTGTGTTTAAAGACTGTTAAGACCTGATTAATGTTGAGGTAATGACTGTTACGTGATTATGCATTTGTTTGGTAATGCATAGTAGAAATTGGAATAGTAAGGCATTTTCTTTGTCTTAAACCAGCTTGTTTCTTCTTCAGCTGTTGCTGTTTGCAATGTCTCTGGTTCTTTGAAGGCTGAGCAAATGTATTTCCCTCTGGCTTATAACTGCAGAGTTTGCATCTTCCACTAATTTCTGCAGCTCCTCCTAGATTATAGTGCTCTCTTTGATACAAAATTCTAATTTTAAAAGATATTTCTGATTATATTTTAACTTTTTAAAATGGCAAAAATAGAGAGCGCTTCTGGCCCTCTATCTTGTTTTGATTACAATATATCTGATTATTCTGGTCCAGGTGCACATCCCAAACAGGATATCCTTGCTAAAATCTCTTTCCTTGGAAAGATTGTTAAACAGAAATTCATTGGAAAGTAGCACAAACCAGGAGAAAACACTTTAGTAACTGTCTTAAGTGAAAGCAACTTATGCAGCTATATTAAAATCTACAAAATGCCTAAAAATCTTTAGGCATCACCTGAAAAAAAAAGAAGCTGTAGGAAAAAAAGTTTGTTTGAAACTTCAGAACTGTCTCTGAAGGAGAGGACTGGGGCTGATTTGCATAGTCAGCACTGGCCAGATTGTTGGTCAGTGTTCCAGGGCTCACAGTTGTTTCCATCTTCACCCCTGCAAGTATTTTCAAGTTGGAGGCTAAGCAGGTTAAAAAAATAAAGTCAGGCTATCTCTGTCCAGCTTCAGTTGTGCCTTCCGATTCATGCTTTTAGTATTCCTGTAAATCCTAACTAAATCCTTGAATACATATCCTCTTGATTATTTTTTAAGCTTTCAGAGTTGAAACTTGGTTATATTAGCATAATATGAAATATTTTAGTCTAATCCATCAGTGTTCAAAGGCATAGCAAGCTCTAAATAACAGCAACGCTTCTAGAATGTGCTCTTCATGAAAGGATGGGAAATGTTGGGGATGCAGTGAAAAGGCCTCCAACACCTGTGTGTCATAGAGACAGTGAAGAGCTCTTTCCTAGAACATTATGTAGCATCTTTCTGCATTTTGTGCCACTGGTGAATTGTATTTTGTATCCAGCACCAAGCTCTGCTTTGATTGCCCTTTGAATCCCTGCCATCTTTCCTCTCTCCACTATCTTGTCTTCTCTGCTGATGTGCTCTTTGTTTGCTGCAGAACTCCCCAAGACACCAGTGGGGAGAAGAGGAACCCAATTCACAGACAGTAAGATGATTGATTACCCAATTGCATCGCTCCTGGGCAGAAGGAAGGACCTGTAGATAGTGAAACAGTGAAACGAGGGTGGCATAAGGGTTTAAATGCATGTCCATGCCACTGGCTGCCTGTTCTTTCAGGCAGAGGTTGCTGGATTTCTTAGAGGGGTTTTTATTTTAATTCCTGTGTCTTGTCAGACCTTAGAGATGCAAGCACAGAACTAGTTTTTAATGTGGTGTGTTTTGCCCAAGATACCTGTTTTCTTAATATCGTCACAGTTGTGTATTGGTAACTGTTCCCACGTGAGGAAGTGGAAATCCTTCACCAGGAGTATTTCTGAGCAGTGTGAGTGTTAGGTTAGCCTGACACCACACTTTAACCCCTGGTGAACTGTGCGGGCTTGTAACTACAGGGATTGCAGAATTGTAAGCAAACCACTAGAATCAGATTCTCAGGCTGGTCTCTGGAGTGAATGACTTAGAAGTTTCCCATCTCTCCTCAGGAAAGAGATCATAACAGTGAAGATGAAGATGAAGATAAATATGCAGATGACATTGATATGCCTGGGCAGAACTTTGACTCTAAAAGACGTATCACAGTTCGCAATCTGCGT